TTGGAAGCAGCAGGAGTCTCACGTCCTGACCTGGAGGCCACGGGGTCCATCCCTGCATCAGTGCCAGGATACGGCCCAGCCGCAGCCAGGCGCTGACCCTGGGGATGGGAAGGGGGGAAAGAGCTCCGACACCACCAATGCTTTGTGCTCAGCCCAAAGGCTTCACCCCCCACTCTCTGTAATCTCAAATTCTTAGAAATATTAGGTAATTGGAGAGGAATCAAATTTTTTCCTTATAACCAGGGAGAGTCCCCTAATCCCTCGCTGTTAAATACTATAAAGCGATGCAAATAATGGTCTCTCTGTGTTTTCCTCTCCATAGCCCTGGCGAGCGGCACGGCACTGCCAGGGACTGCCCGCGCCCCCCCCACCCCCGCGGGCACGACGGACCCCTCGCCCCCGGCGCAGGCGCACATCACCTTCCAGCTCCTCGGCTTTGCTTTAGGGAACAGAGCAGACGCCTCTGAAACGTCAAACTCCAGCTTTATGGCAGCCAGAACCGGTTCTGCGAAGGCAGCGACACATTAATCTGTGCTGGCTGCTGCGGCAAGAGTTACTAAAAATGGGGATATATCTGGCATCGCCCCAGAAAAACCCTTGTGCAATGCAAAGCCGACACGGAGCGGCTGGGAAGCGGGAAGGGTTGGGTTTGAAATGGCGGATCAAGGGGGAAGGAGTCCAGAAAGCCGGTCCCCAGTGCAGCACCAAACCCCCGCGCTTTTGCGATGCTGTGGGCACGGGAGGGGAAGCAGCTCTGTCACTGGGGTTTATGGCGACAGCCACCCGTCTGGGGGGGGCTGATCCTGGCTGGGGATGGGAATGGTACAACCGGGGTCCCTCCGGCCTCGCAGCGGGGACAGGGAAAGGCATACATGGTCCCCAGACTGGGAACAAGACGGCACGAATACAGCCTTCGCTACGTTCTCATTAAGAGTAATCCTTCCTGAACAAGCACGTGTCTCTTCGGTAAATACTGATTTCACCTATCAACAAACCTGAATTTATTTACATCAGAGACTTTGAGCCAGGGCCGGCAATTCTGACATAAATTGTCTGAATAATGCAACGTATCCTCTCCTTGCTGGTTGCTATGGGTACTGGGCTGTTTTAGCCTCCATCTATAAACATTAACTGTGAAGGGGATGTGGAAACTTATCTAAAAATAAAATACTATGCCCAAGTCTTTAAGAGGAAGGTCGTTGAGATGGCGATAAAAAAAAAAATCCTCGTGTGATGGTTCTGAAGCAGTGAAATACAAACACGGCGTCCGTGAGCCTGGCCGAAGGAAACAGAGGCTGGACTGAAAAGAAACCAACACTTTT